AGTTCCTGACCATCATCTAGCCCTGGGATGTGGTAACAGTAATAAAACCTGCCTCGCTGAGCAATGTCAGGAGTAACATTGAAGTGTGCCTCCATTTCTCTGTTTTTCCTTAATAAAAACTTCTTCCAAAGTATTACTTAGCCTGTGCTGGCCAATGTGGTTTCCATTGACTGATGTGGGATGTCCTTCTGTATATGTGTTGCTTTTATTGGTTGATGAAAAAACTGTTTTGGCCAATGGCTTAGCAGAGTAAAGCCAGGCAGGGAATCTGAGCAGAGTTATATAGAGAGAGAAGATGTCATGTAGCTGCCGAAGGAGAAAGATGCCAGGACATTACCAGTAAGCCTTTGGCTTGTGGCAATACATAGATTACTAGAAATGGGTTGATTTAAGATGTAAGAGCTAGCTAGGAATATTCCTAAGCCATTGCCCGGTGTTATAATTAATATAGTTTCTATGTGATTATTTGAGTCTGGGTGATCAGGAAACAAAAGCGCAGACTCTGCTTACATAATGGTGCCCAAATGTTTGGCAAGAATTTCCATAATAAAGCCAGAGAAAGCTTTCACTGATGTTTCATTGTTCTTCTTTTCTTATTTCTGGGGACACTTTTGTTCTCCTTCCTTATCAGTTTCATTGTCTCTTTTTCTGCATCTTCAATATTGTCTCATCTGCTTTTTCAATCCAAACATGTTGCATTGTAGCCCTTGTCTGAGTGGCTTTGGACACCATATGCAAAGACTTGCCCAGTTTTGCTTTGGTAGCTAAAGAACAGAAATGTATTGCAGTGTATCAAAAGCGGAGCCATCAGGAATAAGGACCAGTAGCTTCACTGAAGAGGGTTTGGCCTCTGCTTTCAAGTTCATACTTTACTACTCCATGTCAGAAAGAGAGAGATAACAGGTCTTCACGTGATAGAAGACAGATGGGCAAGCAAGAGCTTCCTCTGTCGGGTTCTATAAGGGAACCTGATGGCACTCATGAGGACAAGGCCCTCATGACCTAATCACCTCTTCAAAGCTCTACTTCTTAATACTTTCACATTGACAGTAGCTGAATGTTCGGGGGAGGGGCACACAAGCCATGCTGCGTGTTTGTTTCTCCTGTTGACAGAAGATCCATGAAACAAGGTCTTTTTCTGTTAGTCTACATCTTTTCACTGTGTGCTCAAAGCTGTGCTTGCCAGAGGTCCGTGATACCTGATTGGATCATTCCACTAGACTCTGCTTAGTTCCCAGTTCCATGTGTTTTAAAAGCCATTCACTAATTCTTCTAGGTGTAAGACTCACTGGGGAGCTTGCCTAAAATATACCTGTCCTGACCCCAGCCCCTAGGGATACAGATGCAGTAGAATCTGGGTGGAATCTGTAACATTTCTTAACAAGCTCCCAGGGTGGTTTCACGGGCTAATGCAAGCACACTTTGCAAAGTTTTGTCTCACTGGCTCATTGTACCAGGTTAAGTTCATTTCTCTATTGCTCCCCGGCTTAAGTGTTGTTTCACAGTCGAGTGTGAATCACCTGGGAGCCTAAATATAGATCCCCTAGCCCCACCTCAGACCTTGTGAATCAGAATTTCCACGATGAGTCCTAGGAATCTACAAAAGAAAGAAAGAAAGAAAGAAAGAAAGAAAGAAAAGAAAAGAAAAGCCACCTCCCTTGGTGCCTCTGCTGCAGCCAGTCTTCTGCCAGCCTTTGATAGTCCCATCTCGTCTTACAGACTCTATGAGGAGGTCCTAACTCAGGAGCAAGTGGGTGTCTTCTTTGTCATTTTAAGCCCATTTCTCTATCTGTCCCACGATGTTCGAAAGTGCTGCTCAGTAAGACAAGTCACTGTGGGATGAACTCCAAGGGGAGTCACACTTGCCAGATGCCTTTGCAGCTTGGATATCAGCCATTGCTACACAGACATCCCAAAACTGTTCTCTGACTGGAGCCAATGAGTGTGGCATGGCTGCCTATCTTGTTTTGGTGAGGATGCTCTCGGTCATCCTTTTTGTCCAGGAATTCAATGTTCCCCAGAACAGACAACATGGTATAGTCTCCTTCCTCGTTGTACTTTTTTACACTTCTCCAGCTCAACCTTCCCCTTGGATCTGCATAGAGGGACATGCTTGGATTGGCTTCAAGCTCGGAGTGTATCCACTGGTCTCCAGAGAGGTAGTGAAAGGCCCTGAACCCTTTGTCCTGGGGCCTACCTGGACTTCACAAGTTACTGAGGGCAGGGTGTCCCCTTAGGTTAGACTTCTAGGGGAGTAGTCTTGTCTCACTTCTGTTTGGGTGCTTTCTCAGGTAGAACACTTTACCAGAACCGGTAAAATATTACCAGAAATGGAAACAAAATGCAGTAGTGGGGATTGCTCAAGTGGTTAAGAATAAACTATACCGAGAAATTCTATTCACAGAACTTTATCCTCGGCCTAGGTGGACAGCAAGCATCCAGGCTGTGAAGAGTAAGTCCTCTCCTGCTTGGTCTTCTTCCTGAGTTCCTGACCTGCTTACTCTGGACATAAGAGTTAAATGCTAGCCTCTTTGAATGGGGTAGATTTGTTTGTGTTCTTGCAGAAGGTGGGCTCATCGCTCACACAAAACCTAAAACCTAGTGATATCTCCCCTGCTAGTGTGCTCCATGGATTTGCGTTTTGGAGTTTTGTCTCTGGATAAGCGGCAGATTTCATTTTTATGCCAGATAAGAACATCAGTAATTAAGAGAAATCCCTGCGGGAAATCCTATTCCCAGGTGATAGCGGCTTCCCCAGGCTTTTGAGGTGAGGGGGCCAGCTCTGGAGACTCCGAGCTGTGATTTAGTGACAGACAGATGGAACTGACTCTAGAAATATATGGCGAGCCATCCGATGAGTCCTGACAGTTAAAGGACTCAAGGAGACATTTTTTTCCCTACCCACCTAGTCCTCATACAAATGTAAATATATCTCTTTCAACAAGTTGCTGAATGTGGTTTTAATTTATAAGCTAGAGATCAGTCTTACCGAGTGTACAGTCAGGAGTGTGTGTGTATGTGTGTGTGTTCGTTCTCTCTCTCTCTCTCTCTCTCTGCCTCCCCCTCTTTCCCTTCCCATGTCGCCCCCTTCCCTCCCCCTCTGTTCTCCTTTTCTCTCCTCTTTTTTGAAGTCACAGGTTTTATACTTTTTGAACTGGACATTTCCCCTGTCACTTTTCTTCCAGAGACTTCCCTGACCCCATTGTCAGGGGCCTTTAAGACAAGAGTAGTATTTCTTGAAGTAGTATTTCTGCTCTATTTCTTAAAGACGTTTTTGAAGTTCCCAGAGGAACTACATGGGGTTTTAAAACATAACTAAGACAGTGGCTGAATCCATACTGCGATTGAGATTTGAAGAACCTGTCACTGTATCATACTTTATACAGTGTATGCAGAACCCATTGTTGTTATTTATGACCCTGTCTGCTTTCCATTGTGGACTTCTTCCAGCCTTGGGGAATTTACATCATTCCTAATAGCAAAAGGCTTTCTGGTTCCCACAGAGTTGTTCAAAGCCTGACTCATGCTCCTTATGTTAATTGTTCACCTCTGAAAATACAGCACTTACAGGGTGTGGCTGTGAGGGGAAAATCAACTGTATTTACAGGGCATGCAGGACATGTTTAGAAGTGTTTCACACATAAATCTCCATCGATCCCAATCCCTCTCAGCCTACCCTCTTTTGCCTTCCCCCCGACTTAACTTGGAGTATTCTTTTCCCAAAAATTCATTTTAGGAAACAACCAACTAAAAAAGAATGACGACACATTACCGTGCAATACAATCCAGTATAGCCAGTTATACTCTGTTGACTGACAATTAAAGCCAATTTAGGTTACAAGTGGACATGTCTTTGAAAGATGCCGGCCCAGGTCTGAAGCATAGGCATGGCCCAGAGCTCACGGATCCTCCTAACCTAGTCTTGTGAGCACTGATGAGATCGAGCCCTTAGAGATACCCCGGAATGATACTCATGGCTGCCATCCTTCAGAATCCGGGGACTACCACCATTCATTCCTATGTAAGCCTACATAAAACACAGGTCTACTGATAGGTACGGTTCCTCATAGTCACTACATTTTAGAGGAATTTGATGGGGAAGAATTACTTGGACTCTCAGAAAAGAAAGAGCAGATAACACCTGATCTGGGCTATCAGCTTCTAACCTATGGGAAGAAATTCCAAAACATTATGTGGGTCAACTCTGGCAAAGGTTGCCATAACTTTAAATTTTGTAATTATCTCTTTATGAAGCTTTGTGGATATGTTTTTTAAAGATAGATAATCTGTGCATAAGATTACGGCAATGACTACTATAAGAAGCCAGAGACTCCCAGGTTTTTGGTGGTTGTTTGTTTGTTTGTTGTTAGTAACCGAGATTGAAAAAAAAACTTCATTTTTAAAATGCCAATATTAAAAGGTTTAACTTGCAGTTTGGATGCTCACCTTACTAGATCTGGATGGAGGTGGGTGGTCCTTGGACTTCCCACAGGTCAGGGAACCCTGATTGCTCTACGAGCTGATAAGGGAGGGGGACTTGATCGAGGGAGGGGGAGGGAAATGGGAGGCAGTGGCGGGGTATTGTTTTATGGCTCACAATATTGGTAAATAAGGGGCATGTGGAGGAAATCTCAGGATCATCAGGACACTCGCTACTGTCTTCTCACAAGCCTGCTTCTGCTGGCTCAGGGATTCTGCCCTCTGGGGTCACAGAGAGACCACATATTGTTCTAGATGCCTTGGGATCTGCATGTTTCACATTACGGTTTTGTGTGTTTGTGGTACATATTCATGCATGAATTGTATAGAGAAGAATACAAAACCAGTGTGACACCAGAAAGTGCCGACTGAAAGCAATTGAAAGAACCTAAAACAGCAGTCTTGTTTTACTTGGTATCTAAAGAAGTAAAGCTGTCCACCTGAGCATTCCTAGTGTCGCTGTTTTCCCTGGTTTTCAGCTAATAGGCTCCTGTTTGAACCTTTGTTATCTTTTGGAGTAGACAAAAAGAACCCTCCACGGACTGTCTGACTATTTCGCTGGGTGTGCACAGAGTTCACCTTCTCCTGGTACAAAGCTCAAGAAAAACACTCTACAAGAAATGTAGGTCCAGCATGTTCCCTTGTTCTTACTTTCTGACTGCCTGTGTGGATAGTCTATTACTCAATGAGAGTGTGTGAAACCTAATCAGAAGCCCCTTTGCCATTGGTCCGGCCCACAGCCATATATTAATACATGTCCTTCCCACCTTCCTGTTGCTCTTGTTCTCTGGACAGTGGGAATGGACTCCTTGCTTCACAGGTGTGTGTTGCAAGGGGTGATTAATTACAAGCTCTTTGAAGATGCAAAGCACCTGCTGCTGCTGTGTTTCACACAGCTCTTGAGGTAACTGCAGACAGACCTAAAAACTCCACTCCCTCTGTGAGATCCTTCTCTGACTTTGGTATAATTATGGCAGTCCTTGGGCCCCTTACTACAACATATTTATGGGTTTTTTTTCCACAGAGCTTAGCCAAAGTAAATAATCCAGCTTCGATGCTTGATTTTAATGGCTGAAAAAGTTTCTTGCTATTTGTAAATGTATTGTTGTCAACTCCTTGCCAAAGTTAAGGACTTTAGTCTCTCAATTTCCTAAGCACTTTCTGTCCTGCCATGGAAGTTTGTTTTAAAGTTTGCCTTGTCTGTTGTGTATCCTGTAGAAGAGGGAGGTAGAGAGATGATAGATAGGTAGATAGATAGATAGACAGACAGACAGGGTAGATATACTGCTTATCATGGTTGTACTTTATTTAATGTTTGTTGTCTGAATGCTTTCCGGGACTGACCAAGTCCGATTCACTGAGGCTTACTCCCATATGCTTGATGTATAAACCTGGCACCTACTGAGTCATGTCATTAGAGAATCTTCAGATTAGTATTTATTCCCATATATAAACAATGTGTGCATATTTGTACATATCTGTGGGTGTGCACACACATCCTGTGCTTTGGATGTATCTAAAGCATTCCCTCCTAGTAAAAGTCAGTATATCCACCCCAGGGAAAATTTTCCTCTGACATCTGAAAATGCATACCTGTTTGATTAAAATGATTCCATTTGAAAATGATGCCATCACTGAACCAACACTGAGACCTTAGAACATACCCTGGTTGTGTGGAAAATGCGGAGGTTATTACTTAAGCCAATCTGTATTCAACGTACACTTTGGGGATTTCCTAGCTATGCTGAGGTGTTGAGGAGAAGCCAGCTGGCACGTGCCTTGTTCTCAGGTGTAACAGCCGGGGAGTGGGGGTTTGGAGGAATCCATGCCGTTGCAAACCTCACATTCCATACAATCTTAATTGTCTGTTTTAGTGTGAGAAGAACTGAAGGAAAACGCAGTGCCAAGAGCAAATCACAGGCCAGCGCGGACCTTGTGGGAAGATCTGGTGACTCGGTCATCACTGTGGTACCAAGGAGGAGGGATGCCTCGGCTGTTCTCCTGTCAGAATCCATGGGTCAAGCACAGGATGACATAAAAGCAGCCAAGAGCCACTGGGGACTTCCTGTTCAAAAGCTGGAAAATGTTTCCCAGACTGAGCCAGAAGACACTAGCAGCCAGCAACAACCTCATCCTGGGGAGTGGCTAAAGTCGGGGCTTCTAAGCAGGAGCCCTATGTGTAACTATGAGTCAGCATCACCAGGTCCAAAGCAAAGTCCACGAGCAGCCAAGACACAACAGAAACGCAGGAACTGCGGCTCTGCGGAAGACTCTGACCACCGCAGGAGAGTTTCTCTTGGAAATGATGGGTTAGCCCCAGGAGACGGGATGGTGGGAAAGAGCACAGCTGTCAGTGTTTTGCCAGCGTTAGAGTTGTCAGATCCAGGGTTGCTTTTGAATCAGGATTTGGCAAAAGCCACGGCTAAAGAAGAGCTACATGCTTTGGAAAATCTCTCCTCCAGACACCTTATGACCAACATCCCAGGGCAGGCACAGCAAGCCACCCCGGCTGCAGCTGACGAAAGATTAGCGACAGTTGAAGGCGGCCCAAGCAAAAAAAGAAAGAAATTGCAAAGTTCTAGCAGAGGATGTAGTGGCAAGAAAACTTTGAGTGTATAGTTCCCGGGATTTGGAAAGAATTGGGGTAATCTCTCTAAATAAACAGATGTTTAGAGGCTGGAGGACTGTCTCAGTTTTTAGGAGCACGTACTGCTCTTGCAGAGGACCTAGGTTGGCTTCCAAGCATCCACAAGGTGACTCAGAAGCATCACGAACTCTAGATCCAGGAGACACAACACCCACTTTTGGCCCCCATGGGCACCGGGCATGCACATGGTATGTATACCCACAAGCAGGCAAAATACACATACACATGAGATAAATCTTTTTTAAAAAGCTGTTTGTGTTGGGATTAGACTTCACAGTCACCTCCTGGAGGCTGTTTTTCTAATAGGCGTGTTACTTTCTCATCATGTTTATAACTGTCTCCAGAAAACACTGTGTTGACAAGAGCCCTCTACTTGTCAAGGTATATAGGACCCCGTGGAGAAACCAATAATGTGGGGTTTTCTCATCGCATCACTATGGAGACCTCCTGATGGGATACAGAGAGATGGTGCCCTACGCTGCCAACCAGCTCTTGTGCTCCAGTCCTCTTGCTCCTCAAACTGAGTACGTGGCAGTGAAAATAGGCTAGTGGTTCTCAGCGCTGTGGTTCTATGCGAAATGCAGGTTTTGGAGTCTGAGAGGAGCTATGATTTTGAAATAACACTAAAGCTGACAATTCCCTAGGAATTATTTCCTCCAGCCTTGCCACCGCAACTTCCATCAACTGGGGCCACATGTGGACACGTACAGCCCTGTGCTCCCTCGGACTTGTGAAGTATTTAGATTGTGTGCGTCACTTAATTCCCAGGTTCTGCTGCAGGATGGAGACAGCGCTTAGGGAGCTGGTTAGCTGTAGTTGCCAGAAATGTATAGGTAATTCATCTCAGCCTTACGTGAAGACATGGAAGAGGTGTGTTCTGTGTGACGCAGGTCTGACCCTGTCCTTGTTCACACCTCTAATATTCCAACTACAGTAAGGACAGATCAGAACCCATTCCAGTTCCATGTTGGAAAAATTCACAGGGCATTTACATATTCTCTTTGGTTGTATAGCCTACTCTCAAGAAAGACAAGAAACCTAAGTTGTCATCCTGGAAGTTTCATCCGATCATCCCAGCCTCAAAGGACCAGAAACCACTTGCTGTTGTTCCTTTCCTTTCCTTTCCTTTCCTGCCTAGCTTTTTTTTCTTGAGAGATAATTCCCAACCATTGAATCCTCAATGGAAGTCTGAGTAGCCCCCATTATACACCAAGAAGCAGATCGCTCAGAAAGATCCTAAAGTCAAAGCCAGTCCTATCAGAATGATGGGCTCTAAAACTAAGATATTCCGACCTGGAATCAACAGGGTTTTACTTGTTTAATGGTTAAGGTCAGACTCAGTCCTTAATTGTACTTAAATGAAGGATTTGCTTTCAAGAAATGTTTTGTTTTTCAAGTCTGTTATTGTAGGAAATAATGATTATTGTGACTAGTGAGAAAAAATAGTACATTTGGTTTGTACATAGATGTGGTCTTTCACACAGTCTTCATGCACAGTGGATTTTAACAGGATTAGCAGAGAATGGCTCTGGGCTCCCATAAGTGGCATATGTTTAAGGATATGCCTTTAAGGATTTTGCCTTTAAGCATTTTCCTTCGGTGTATCTGAAACACCTCTACATCTCTTGTTTCTTGAATGGTTTTATAATTCTTTGAATATATGGACAAAGGGGGAAATTAGTCCCAAGTGTTTTGTTAATCATCAGGTGGTATGTTAAATATTTTCTACTGTTGGGAGTGGTATGAGTTTTTATATTCTTAACTATTGTAATAACTTGGCATTTGAAATTCTGAGACCCTGTCAGTGTTGATAGTCAAAAACAAGTTCTTCAACCCCTTGGTACCCAAATTAAATTTATATTCAGGTCCCTGTAATTCTGATACTTACAAGAGATATCCATCCAGTTCTCCTGATATCATTATAACTGAAGAACTTTCTCAGTACCTGGGATGCTAAGCCACCTCTATGTTCTTTCAAATGACATTTAATAAGTGAGAACTGGTTAGGTCTTTTTTTTTCTTTCTTTCTTTCTTCCTCTCCCTCCACCCCCATTTAAAATCCTGTGGGAGAGGCTGGGCCTGGGGCTGTCCTAGCACTCGGGAGGCAAAGGCAGGCAGATCTCGTGAGTTCAAGGCTAACTTGGCTTACATAGTAAGTTCCTAGATAGCCAGAGCTACATAGTGAGACCCTGTCTCAAAACAAACAGATGAGAAAAGGTATGAGAATAATCTGAGGTTTTTCTTGCACAATTGTTTTTTCTTTGCCACTGGAGGTAAACTCACCCAGATATGCGTATGATATGTTAAGTGTAAAAGGTCACTTGGCACTAGAACAGAGTAAGAACCACATGGTTTTGTTCCCTTATTGCATGCTAAAGAAATATGGAAATGCATTTCATTCTTTAAAAATAAGACTCATGGGCTGTTGGTGAAGAAGGCGCTTTGCATGTGCAGTTCTCTGGATTTGATCCCTAAGATATCAGTAAGAAAGAAAAATACACAAAACTTCTGTAGTCTGATTTCTGAAGAATGTAGCTCATCTCTGGATGAACCTTCTCAAAGTGTATTGTGGAGATGATGCTGGGGTCTCAGGATAATTGTTTTATGTTTGCTGTTGTATTTAGATTTCAGCAGAGATCCTGCCTATCAGTGCCCTTTGGCTTCAGAAAGAGCCCCAACTGGGGCAGACACATAGGGAAGGAACTATCTATGCCCAAGAGAATGGCTAGGATCAGTGGCGGCATTCGTGTTTCCTTAAGCTCCTTGGCAGACCTTACTGTAATACTTCCACAAAACGGTAGTGAATGGTCCTCTGAATAACAAGCAACTTTTCAAGAGCCAAAAAAACTCGCTGTGCAGCATGCTGGGACTGGAATATGGAAATTGTTTTAATTTCTTCTTTTCTCTTATGAGGAAATCACTGCATTTGGTTTGTCAAGACAAGAGAGTTCATTCCCCAGTATTGAAACAGTGATGAACTGAAACATGTTGGAGCAAGTTTAAAAAAAAAATAAGTCAAAATTAAACTGGCTTCTCTTAAATAGCTTAAAGCTTTCCACAATACAAAATAAATTAAGCATTGTAAAATGAAGTTAACTCAAGTAACCACTCCGTACAGAAATGTAGCCATATTTTATACCCTGGAACAGCAAGCCAACATCAGCCTTGCTGTTCCAGGGTATAATTAAATCCTCAGAAATCTGCGGAATTCCCTCTAATTTGATTTCTATATATATTTAATGAGACAGGGAGTGAATGTATGTCAATATGTAGCATAACAGGGACCTTAGATGGATGAGACTTCCTTTATCATCTGGACCCATTCAGGTAAATTCCATTGGCAGCAAAGAATTGCCATACTATATTAAGTGTTCCCATCACCATTCTCACCAGAGATTGGCAATTAGTTTACTGAAGCAAAAGTTGGTAAAACCACACATTTGACTCCCCAGAGCATCTGATGGGTTCTAATAGGTGGTAATTTGACAGATTCTCAGAATGAGTTTCCGTGTAGAATTAGACATTGCTAAATCTCCAGGAGAACCCTGGTCCTCTCATTTAAGTAGCTTAAATAGTCTGAATGTCTAGCGAATAAAACCATTTTGTATTGAAAATGTACCTGTTTATGAATAAATATGTGTGTTTTGTGTTGTGTCATCCAGATTGCTTACTTTGTGTTTGTGTGATGAGCAGTGGGGGGGGGGGGGGCGTCTCACTATATATCCCACAGTTCAAACTCACTACGGAGCCCACACTGACTGACCTCAAGTCTTTGTCCTGCCTCTGTGAGGAAAGCGCGTGTGTGTGTGTGTGTGTGTGTGTGTGTGTGTGTGTGTGTGTAAGAGAGAGACATGCTGTTCAAAAACAAGTGAATTAAGCTCAAAGAATGCATATCCAATGCACCCTTTTCTGAACATGTTATTCTCAATTATGTTCTGCCTGAAAGAATGTCTTTCCTCCCAGGAACGTTTCTTGGGTTCGGGAAATCTTGCTAAGTTAAAGGTACCATTTGAACCACTAGCCCAAAAGATTTAGGTTTAGAAAACCGAGTGAGAATCATTAAGATCAAATTGATCCTTAAGGTTCTAGGCTGTCTTAGCAGTCTAAGTCCGCTCCCACTGTGCTCCTAAGTGAGTTCTGTGGCCCTCTTAGGAAGGGCTTTCATAGTCTTGACACCTTCCCCAGAACCCTGACTTTCCCCAGGTAAGCTCCTTTACATGCCGCATGAGCTTCTGCTCTTTATTCAGTACTGCTTGAGGTTCTGGGCCAGCTCTTTCTCTAATCACCTCAATGTTTCCATCCCTTGGGCCTGTGGTCACTTGTAAGTAGATTTCCCTGGTGGCCCTATTCCTGTCCCTCCAAAAGCATTTCAGTGTCGTTCAGAGATGACGTCAGAGCTTTGTGTGAAATGGGAAGGATGACTCCCAATGGGGAAGCCCATTTCTTAGTGTTTTGGTCGTCTTGGTGCACTGGGTGGCAAAGCCCACACAAAGGATTCCCTGCCCTGGGCTGGAACCTGGACTGGAGAGCTGGAACAACGTAACAGCACGGCACTGCACGGCACTGCACGGCACTGCACAGTACTGCAAGCAGCAAACCCTGGGTCCAGGAGCTACATTGCCATGAATAGGTTTTCTGTGTGTTTTGATATAAGTCACTTAACCTTCCAGTCTTCAGTTTCCTCATCTTTCAAAACTGTCTAGTATTTTAAGTGTAAACCCATTGTCCTTCAAGTACTAAAGTAAGCATGTCACACCCCTATGTTAATTTGTCTATCTGTCTAGAAATGCTTCCTACAGTGGACACTAGTTGGAATCACCTCTGTGGCTTGTCGATCAGTCTCTAACCCTCTGGGATTGGTCGTGACTATATTTTAGTATTTTTAAAACCCCTCAAGCAATGACTCATGGGATGTCATATTAAGAACTACTTTTTCAAAATGGGGTATGTGTGCTTATGTAAATCCTGGATGTTGACAGGCAGGGTTGACTGGGAAAAATAGCCCTTAAAAGAGGGCTTTCTTCAAATCTAAAGTACGCCCACTTTCAGACAAATGAGTAGGAAGTCTTTAGGGACGAGGTGTCAATAATAGCTGTGCATTTTAATCAAAGGGTTGTGTTTCCTTCTGCAGCTTTCCCGTTCCGGAGTGTTAGACCCCGTGCATCATTCTCCACATTGAGATATTGTTACCCTCATTCGGAAGATGAGTTTTC